CAGGTACGACGGATGCTGCTGCTCCGGCATGCTCGGCAGGGCGGCCGACACATATTGCATCACAGTACGGGCCGCCCTGGTGCAGTATAGGCCCTCACTTGTACTAGGAGACAGCTCGGAAGGCGGTAGATGCGAGGTGGCAGGGGCAACTAGAGAAGCGAGGAACAGGTTACTAGAGGGAACTTGCCCATAGGCCTTCAATGTACCTCTGTGCTCCTCTGGCCTCACACGGGTGTATCCCGCTTCGTACCATGCGGAAAAGCTTTCAACTAAGAATCGGATTGCGAGATATACCAAATCCGGCTGATAGTGATTACAGCAGAGCCAAAAGTGTAATCAGACAAAAATCGAACGGATTTTGGACAGGAGCGCTCAGATTCTGCTGCAATCGGAATCTGGGTCACACGATTATCAAAATCCCGCAGATAGTGCCCAGGATGCTGTCCGCGGGGGCCCTGTGTACAAGGATGCTGCTTGATCTGAGAGGTGTTGGCTTGCAAGGCGGTGCTGCCGTCCTTGCATCTCCTGGGTTTGTTACCCGGCCTGGTGGCGGTCGTCGCTCGGTGGGCTCACAGCGTCGCGAAAGAAGGTGCAAAGCGTAGCGATAAGGCACCTGAATGGAGTCCACTGGAAAGGTTCATCTGGCAATACATAGTCAGGCATAGAGACACGAGTGAGAGCTGAGATCGACCTCGCCGAGGAGCGCGCGAGTGACGTACCCGCCATCAGTCGCCTCTGATGCGCCCTTCCAAACTCGCATCGTGTCGTTCAGTTCCAACTGTCTTTCGCCAGCATGCGGCGCGGACCGCCATAGGAGCCGGCCGTATCTTACATCTCTCTACTTGGTGAATATGTATCCGGTGCTGTTCGACTCCCTCCGTCGACCCGGATGCTTAATTCTGCTCGTCGTTCAACCTTGATCACGACTACCGGACTGCAAACAAATCGCCAGCATGCTCAAGACAGCATAGCCTATAATCCAGGAATATCCTCGCCTGTTCGCTGTGCTGTGAGCCTGCGGCTACCGGATGGGCGAAGGCATGTCGCTTCGACGGTGTATGGGACGCTTCTCTGCCGAGTATGCTCGCGTTCGTGGAGCATTCGATGTAGCGGCTCGCCATGCAACCCAACTTCCCGTGGCCGTGGGGATCTAGAAGTGCCAATCACGGGCTTTTGGCTTTACGCGAGTATCTGGTATCCTTTTCTTATCTTACTGCCGTGTCTCCGAGCCTCTGGGAATCACGTCCTGAATTATGGGAGTCCTTCGCACTTATCGTCGTGCCCCCCTCCTCTTTGCCAACTTCCACCTACATCTATCCCTGCTGCGACTCTGAGAAAACCATGGAAGCCGTTTTACATCTGGACAGACCCGTTTGGGTGGTCTTAATTATCTTTTGCTCGATAGCAGCCTTCCTCACCCGGAGCAGGCTACGGTCGCTGCCGCTTCCACCAGGACCGAAGCGTTGGCCCGTTGTTGGCAATGCGTTTAGCTTTCCGAAAGAGCGAGAGTGGCTTACGTTCATGCGGTGGTCCAGAGAATATAGTGCGTCACTTTGTCTTGTACGTCCGTACTGAACCACTGACCGTGCGGTGCCTATATAGATTCTGACCTGCTGTACTACGAATCTTGGGGGAAACCCTTTGTGGTGATCAATTCCGATCGTACCGCCATAGACCTTTTCGAGCGCAAATCGTCGCTTTACGCAGATAAGTGAGCTCGGGGATGGTTGCATCTTTCACTATGCCCTCATACGGCTCTGGACAGACCACGGATGCCAATGCTTAACGACCTGTGCGCCCTCCACTCCTTTCTCCCTTTGAGAGCGGTCGTGGTGACGAGCTCTACGCTAATAGCTGTGGCTGGGCCTGGGACATATCATTCATGCCATACGACGACACGTGGAAGCTCGCGCGCAAGCTATTCACTCGGCATTACCGCGCGGGCGCTGCTGTGCGGTACCGCGACGAGGAGACGCGCTGCGCCCGCGAATTGCTGGCTGATATCCTGCAGAACGATGTTCAGCTGTTCGAGCACACGCGCCTGTGAGTATCACATGCACAGTACACCCGCGAGAAGAGCTACGTCAGCTGACAACCCTGAAAGGGCCTTTGGAAAGCTGATCATGAACGTAACGTATGGGATCGACGTCAAGTCTGCGGACGATAAGTATATCAAGAATGCGCAGAAGGCGTTGTACGCAATCACGGCTACGGGTAACGTCGGAACGTATCTTGTAGACTCCATACCGCTACGTGAGCATTGTGCTACAGCGTTAACGCAATTCGGATGCTGAGGTAGACCTGCAGTGAAATACATTCCGGAGTGGTTCCCGGGCGCAAAATTCCAGCGCGAGGCGCGAGAGTGGAGAGAAGCGGCAGAAGTGATGTCGCAGCAGCCTATCGAGGATGCTAAAGAGGCAATGGTATGTTTCTGCAAAAACCTGTCACACTACATAACTTGCTAGATTGTATATAGGCAGAAGGTAAAGCCCCGCCTTCGGTGCTGCGATCGCTCCTCGAAGACTATGGCGAGAATCCGTCGCCACAAGAGGCATACGCCATTCTCAGCGCAACTGGAACGGCGTACGAGGGTGAGATAATCATTCTAACTAAGTGGTGTTGCACTGAAGTGTACGCACATGGGAAGCCGCGTCCGAGACAGTGAGTACTTTTGACAGCGAATTTGGCATAATCTTGTTGATGTTGCTAGATGTGGTCCACGACGCTCACAGTCATACTTGCGATGCTCCTCTTCCCCGACATCAAAGCCAAGGCTCACGCCGAGCTCGATCGAGCCGTTAGCCGAGAACGCTTTCCCGACTTCGGAGACCAGGCGTCTCTGCCTTATATCACTGCCATCTGCAAAGAGGTGTGCAAGTTCTTCTACTCACCGCTTGTTGGCATGCTCAATGTTGATCAGGCGTTGCGATGGCGGACGCCTTTACCTTTGGGTCAGCTAGCTCCCTGTGCACATGCGCCTATCTTCTGACACAGCTGCAGCTGTTATGCACAGGGTAACCCAAGAAGACACTCACAACGGGTACCACATCCCTGGCGGCTCCACTGTCGTCCTCAATTCTTGGTATGCCCCTTCCGTGCTCTCCCCTCTATCGCACCCTCACTTGACCAGGGCCATCCTATATGACCCCAAACAATACCCGGATCCCGAGAGATTTTCGCCCGAACGCTTCCTAACGCCATCGGGCGAGCTTAATCCGGACGCGCCAGAGCCGACCGCGGCATTCAGCTACGGGCGTCGCGCATGTGCAGGCACCGCCATGGCATTGGACACCCTCTGGATTGTTGTCGCCTCGCTGCTGTGGGCGTTCGACGTACAGCGGGCATTCGACGAAAGCGGAAATGAGATTGATGTGACGGGGGAGTATACCTTCGGCGTCGTATGGTGCGGTCTCCTGTCTTTCTCTGCATTCATGTCCCGTTGATTGAGCGAAACATGCAGCTATCCGGCACCGTTTAGATGTGCTCTGCGGCCGCGGTCAGAGAATATACCCGCGCTGATTTCGGTTTCGTTGGGATGAGCCGCGAATATTTCACCCTTGCTGATTTTAGGCTTCGCCATGCGATCCCCTGGTTTTTTCCCTCGATAGTGTTCTCCTGTAAACATTGTGACGTGCTGATCAAAGCGCGCCTTGTACACCACTATTTAATTTATTAGCTCGTGTCCGCCACGAGGGTGTTATTGCCCGTCCATGCTTGATGGCAACTCTCCGCAGCCCATACACACTTGTCCTCGTGGGGTCCGTGCGACGTCGTACGAGGGATCCGTCTTGCAAACGACATGTGTTCCATTGGTACTCGGCTTGTGAAAGATCTATGGGCGTCGTGAGGTGTTCGCATGGATCCTGCGCCGTGGTGCACGTTGCGTCCCGCTGCTCGGAGGAAAATGGCCCGTAGACAGCAAGCTACTATGTCGGGCTGAGGGGTCTGCTACGTATATGCAAGTTAATGCCCTTCAGGTTACACCACGTATTATTACTACGGTCCGTTCGCTATATCTCCGACTTAATTTCACCATCCACGATTGTTGTGTCGACCCTAGAGCTGATATATTGATAGGCCGTGGGGAAAAGTTTGAGCGCCAGTGGTGGGCGACAAAACCAGCACGGCGGACACGCGTCAGAAAAATTAATGCACAGCACGGACTGATCAGCGCGACTACCATGCTCCAGGGCCAAGCGGGCTGCCGGTAGCCAGCTTCTGGTAGTATCAACGACCATGCGGCCGCCATCGCTGTCGTTCATTTTTAAGCTCGAGAACAAGCTACCTCAATTAACAACCTGAGAATTGCTTGGGATTACTGTGTAGCCCCAAATTGCCTTCGCCATGGATAACGAATCGTTCGTATACGTGAGCAAGCCATTCATAAAGCTAGTCGTATTGTTGAGACCATACCATACAGATTCCTAGTACACAGGGCAAAGGATCTTCAAGTATCGGCGTGTCCTGGGAATGCGCCAAGTGCGGTGCCGTTTTCTTTCAGAAGAATCTCGCACGGCTGCATTTCCGTGTAAATCACACGTTCAAGTTACTACCTTCTCGTGCTGAGGTATCTATCATCTTAAACTTCGTGTGTTGCTCTCATGTTTGTGAATTGCCCAGGTGGTTGAACGTTCCATTATACCTTCGCCATGCACTCCAGCGTACAGCGTGTACGAGGTATATCCAATTCGTCCTCCGCTTTTCAGGTTGCTCATGAGTATGGTACTGAAGCATACCTCTGGTGTTATGGCGGGGAGAGCGTATGCCCTCGGCAGACTGCAAGAAAATGTCGCTAGCGACAGGTGTGTCGCGCATTTTTTATATTCATGAATTCTCAATACCTATGCATAATATTCACAGCTACCAGACTCTGGAGGTGCTCATCACTGGGGGGATTAGCCTGTCTGGGTATCCTATCGTCGATTGCCTTGTCCATGCAGCACAGCATCGCAATCCGCTGCTACGCGTAAGTCGCTCCAGCTATTCAATAGATTATCACATTGATGAACTCCATTAGCTTACTCCTCTACTCGGTGGCGCAGATACGGAAGTAATGGCCGCGCTGACCCGCGACGAGGAACATATCCTGAGGCTCTTAGTGTCCGTATCGGGTACCAATCAGAACGATATTGTACATCTCCGTGGCACCCCTGCAGCTGACCTGTTAAATCTTCTTGATCTGGTGCGCCACTTCCATCTTTCTTCTACAGAGCCATCTGAACAGCACGCCGACAGATTTTGCATCCTACGTCGCCGGGCGCCCCAGACGAATTTCCATTCCAAGCAAGCTTATCAAGACATGGCGTGGAAATAGAACGTTCGCTGCAGCGTACATTCGTGAGGCTGTGTGAGTTGTCCCTGCAGCTCCCTCATAGGTTGTGGCTTGCGGACGTGCACTTGGAAGACCGTCAGCTTGTGAACAGCGGGTCTTATGGAGAAATTTATAAGGGCGAGTATGAGGGGAAGGCCGTAGCCCTGAAGTCCCTCCGCGTCTTTGGGCGCCGTGAAGACGACGCGAGAAATACAAAGGTGCTCCAAAATCTGAATGGCTGCTATGGTACATCGATAACCATGGCTCTTACAGGCATTCTATAGAGAGGTCGCGCTTGCCCGTGGCATGAACCACAGACATGTCTGCCAGATACTAGGGGCTGATCGCGAGTCGTTCGCTGGGAGTCTTATCTGCGTGGTATTACCCTGGATGAGTTATGGTAACGTCCTACAATATATAGCAAAAGTTGGGTGGTCTGCACAAGACGCTATTCGATTGGTCAGCCCCTTTTTTCGGAATTTGCAGCCGAACGTCATTCATAGTCTCGATAGATCTTCCAAGTGGCATCGGGACTGGCATATTTACACGGGAAGAATGTCGTTCATGGAGACCTGCATGTCGTACGTTAGACCTCAGCCTGTTAACCAATTCTAGCTGAGTACACCTTCAGGGGAATATTCCCGTGGATGCAGCCAGAGATGTTCGTCTAGCCGATTTTGGACTTGCCAACTTCTCAGACTCTTCGACGAGCTGCAGCTCAGCCCAACCCGGCGCTATGCGCTGCATGGCTCCAGAGATACTCGATCCGACTCGCTTTCGTCTCCCACGCACCCAGCACACGCCCGCTAGCGATATGTATTCCTTCGGGCAAGTATCATGGCAGGTAAGCACAAAAAGCAGTTCAGTTCAGCTGCCACTCCTCTGATCGATCCAACCTCCAGATTTACACCGGGAAAATACCCTTTCCTGACATGAACAACTACCAGGCGATGTTGGCTATCCTCGATGGCAAATCTCAGGAGCGTTCGCTATCTGACAGAGACATCTCCGACACATTTTGGGACATTATACAGGCATGCTGGTGCTTCGACCCACCCCAGCGTACTGGCGCTGTTACAGCACGCGACCGGCTCGAAGCTATCGACTCCGCAGATCATGCTGACATACCTCCACGTCCTACAATGAGGGATATCGATAGATCCACTGGCTTTCGATTGTCCCACGAACTGGCGCATACCACTGATACCGCTGGGTTCGGCAAGACGTCACGACATCCACCTCCCCCATTGGCTCCGACAATCCTCGACCCCCATCTCCATGATCATAGTCTGATGCTATCCCCTTTGAGCAATGCATCCGCATCATTCGGCTCTGTATGCCCCTCGCCGACACTGATATGCGCAAATCCTTCCATGCAGTACTCAGAGGTCATCCCGCTATCTGTACCAGCCGCCTCTCTGGCTGAGCTCGCTTCCGGCTCTCCAAAGGCTCCCCAAAGAAATCACCAAGCATGTGCGTCCGTGTGCGAGATTGCAGGAGAGCAAGCGCGTCTGGCACGACAGGAACGGAATAAACAGCGGGAAAAGGCTCTGGCCAACAGCCAGCCGGTAGGTCGGACGCGTGGACCTGCGGCAGGGCCTGTGTTGCCTCCCCCTCTGCCGGCGTACTCAGCAAACTTCCCACCGTTGTCACCCCTTCCGCTTTCAGCCTTAGAGACTATGAGGCCACCGGCGCCAGGGTCCAGCAGCAGCGGAACATTGCCTCGTGTACATTTAACCATACCAAGCACCAAAACGCACCTCGGACAATGCGACAGTTCTGCACATGCCACGTCTTCTTTTCGTGAAGTCCGCGGTCTGTCGTCTCTCGGTGACAGAGGCATGGCCTCTCAGGCAGACAATCGGTCTCTTGGCCCACAACCTCTACGTGGAGTCTGTGAGTTTCCTTTTTGGTTTGCTGGCGCTGTATTAATCTAATGTGACCGAGACAGCGATTGGGTTCAGCTCACCTGCTATCTCGTCCCCTTTGGCTCCGATGGAGGGACCAGAACCAGACGTCATAACCCTTCCGTACCCGAGGCATGTCCCTTCGAGCTCTGTGGAAGCAAGCGACGAAGATTCCGAGGAGAAGTGGCGCTTCACGGACCGTGTTCGTGGTCTCCTTCGTCGTGGGAGCAGACATAACGGCCTTGTGAACGACAGTCTGTCTCACATCATCACGCCGTTCTATACGGACGGCTTCGAGCGTGACAAGAGACGGAACCTTCCCGCGGGGGACTGTCTGTCTCGTAGTGTCACACCGCCCCCTACACACCGCCTGAGGCGTTGGAGCAAGCCGAGCCGCTTTGGAAAAGACAATATGTCCCATATCATCACGCCGTTTTACATAAACGACTTCGGGCGATAGTATGACCCTCAAGAGCAGAGACAATATTATAAGTTATGTTGTGACATGTATCATTCTTTTTCCCTTGGGGCCTCACGCAACGGACATCACAATCTCAGCGGCTCTACTATCTGTGTCCTCAACTACGTGCCTCTTCCTTTATCACCATCCGTCGCGGATTCCTTTGACAAGGGAAATCCTATATGATCCCGGACGATATTTGAATGCTGGGCGAGTTCTCGGGCGCGCCAGAGCCGACGGCCACGGCGGCACTGGGCTATTAGCGCCGGCGGGCGCGGGCGTTCGACGCGCAGCTGGCGGTGAACGAGAATAATATAGAGATTAACGTGACAGGAGAGTGGAGCTTTGGTGTTCTTGGTGCGCGCTCATCTTTCTCTGCGCCCATGAGTCGCTAGTTGGACGAGCTATCCGACACCGTTTAGATGTGCTTTGCGGTCGTGGTCAGAGGGCATACACTCGACCGTCTTTCTTTCGTCAGAGCCTCAAGCTGCGAATATCCTAGTATTGGTGACCTTACGCCTCGTCTTACAACTCTGTGACTACCTCTACTAAGTGCGTTCTTCTGTAAACTTCGTAGCATGACGCTGGAGTGCCGTACTTTGTATCGTGCAGCGCACATGAGATCTGAAGATATCAACCTTTGGTTATATCATCCCGAACCATACACGCTCATGTTGGCTACGACTAGCGCTTGCCGCTAACAAGCTTTACTTCGCACAGCCCTATCAGGTGGTAACTCACCGCTTTCTGTCCACCTTGGTCTACGCAATGTTGACAGTCGCTATAATGCGCTCCGGGAGCCCTGTGTTCCGCAGCGTCTGCTTGACTTCTCCTTGTCAGGGCGCCCCTGCCACCGGCGAGGCTCCCATTTAGTGTCAATGATCAGTTCTTCCAGCGCAGGTGCTTTTGACAAAGCCGTGACTATCTCCGGCTTCGCGTCGTAGTACTCGTTAAGTGCCACAAATTTCTTCGCAGAATGTTAGATGTCAGCGAGGGATGCGAGAGAAGTACGATACTTACCAATGACGTCCGGGAATCTGCTATGCAGGAGTTGAGAAGAGCCTTCGCCTCGGTGACCGCCTTGTTGGGGTGGTTTCCTGCGGGATGATGGTGCGGCTTTTCCGAACGCGTGACCGGAAGTGCGTTCCGCAAGCCTGCAATCCATTCTGCCGTCTTGAAGTATGAGATAAGGTGCAGTGTGTGTATGTTCGGCGCATGCTCCACAATCGTGTATAAATCGTTCCCGCAACCGCCCTCCATCCGTAGCCGACGAATGGCCTCGCCGACGACCGGATTCGATAGTACGAGGCCAGCAACCTTCTTGGTGCATTCTGTGCTCCAGACATGCGCAGAGTCGTAAAGCAACGGCGGAGTCCCAGCGTTTCGACACGAGCAGTATGTCGCTGCTCGATTGCGGGCCGTACCTCTGACGAATTGAAAAGTGTTGGAACTTGCAGAATTGTTCTTCAGACAGAGACAACCTGAGGCCCAGAATTTCTCGGAGTAGCTCGTAATTTTTGTCCCTATATGCGAGGTTACGCATGTGTGCGTCGGTCGGCGTCTCGCGCTTTGCTTACGTAGTAATAGCCGCCGACATTTCTCCAGAAATCGAGACCACTCACAAGCACTTGTACTGTCCCATCCTCACGATCGCGAGCTGCAGTTCAGCACAACCTGGGTCACCGGCTTGGGAGAAAGGGGCGCTTCGGCACTCAAGGCGGCTGGCATGTTGCTTATGTCAGCGCTGTCCGCCGGTTTGCCTATATGGTGTCTTCTGGATAGTGCTCATGCAGGCAGGCTTCGCATAATTCTCAGAAGACGGAGGGCTATACCGGATGTTCGGGATAGGTCAACTATCGTGCTAAATCTACGCGCGGCCATCCACAGGTGGCAGGCGCTCCGAACGAACCGGCCCTCGAAGGGAATAGCTTATAGACCAGGGCAGCCGCAACTCGCTTTCTGGAATGCTGTTTATTCAAAGCTAGGGAATGCGCGCCATCTTTCTTTCTCGAAGGTCCCTGCGAGCCTTGCTGTCCCTGGGGAAGCTTATGCCCCTAGAGCGTCAAATGTCCGGCTCTGGTATGTATGCGGCATGCGCGGCCCAGCAACCCTAACAGTCCCTGCCCTTATTCAACTTGAATCGGGTCAGCCGACTCACTTACTACACACCGCATGTTACGGAAAGTATATGTCATAGAGGTAGCTAACCGTCCTCAACGTCGAACACGTCTCAGAGGCTCTTTTAGTGTCCCAGCAAAGTCATATCCGCCACAAGTCGTATCGGGATGTGGCGCCAATTAATGCGAGCTGCCTGATTACTCGCATAGCAACCAACTTCGCCTATCTACGTACGTTTCTAAATTAATGCTTCTGCGAGCTAAAATTGATCGATTTGGGGCAGCACCGGACCTCCATACTCCGCCGCTATCTACTTTGGACTTCCCGAAGCCAAACTCATGCTTGCTCACCCGCTCTCTGTGGGGGGTACTTGAGCAGGGTCTTATCAACCTCGGGGCTCGCAAGTGCTGTGCTGAGCCCAAAGCTGATATCAGCGGCGACGCCAGCTATCACGTAGCAAACGACTATGAAACTCCTTCAAATGTCCAAATTGCGTCGACAGCTTCATCTCTACCGAACGCGATGACAGGTCTGCAATTTTGGTGACATAAGAAGCGCTTTTTGCTTGGCCAGCCTTTCTAGAACCATGCGCCTCCGTGGTCATCTGCCTACCCTATCCCGTAGCTGCAGATATAAAGTGCGCCGTCGAGGGTCAAGTGAAGGTCGCGAGCAGCCATGCAGCTTCTCAGCACCGTCCTGGTCGCTCTCGTATTCAGCGGCACTCGCCTCGCTGACGCGTTGCAGATCTCATCGGCGGGCATGACTGCGTTGTTGGGCAGTGTTGCATACCATGTTGCCCCTACTCCGGTCGCCACGCTCTCCCTCAGTAACTCCAGCGAGGCTGCGTCTCTGAAGTCCGGTGAGACGTTTGTGCCCTTCACTTTTGTGGATGCTAGCGGAGGTAGCTTTGGGCCTGGCGACCTCGCTTCCGTGGTAGCAAAGAATGCTGCCTCAGACGACGTATGGTCCCCGAATTTTCTGACCGGTCAGTGACAACATGATTCAATGTCGTCTCGCTGTTATCATGATGATTTTAGGACTGTACATATCCTCCGCGGCTGCCCCTAGCCTCAGTCCGGGCAATGGGACTGAAATCATTTTGTCTTCGTCGGACACACCGTTGAGCGCATCCATTCCCCCCGGCCCCTACATCGTGAATACTGTCACCGGTAACGTTTTTGAAGGTACGTGATTTTTGTAAACCCTAGAAGGTCTCATTTTATCTAAACCCTCGCAGCCTGGCGCTTGTACAGTGACGAGAACCAGGCGTTCCTCTATGGCACAGTGCCCGACGGCGAAGGCGGCTTCACCGAGCTCGACGCCAACATAGACGGAGCGGCCACCGTCAGCGTTGCAGTGCCTTCACGCCTATATTTCACTCCAACTGCAGAGAAGCCCCTCGCTGGTGCGCGCATCGCCGTGAAGGACATCTACGACCTTCAGGGCCTGCGCACCGGCTGTGGCAGCCGCGCATACTTCCACCAGTACCCGCCGAAGAACACGACCTGCCCTGCGATACAGCGCCTCATCGACGGTGGTGCCATTATAGTGGCGAAGGCGAAGACGTCCCAGTTCGCGAACGGCGAGACGGCCACGGACGACTGGGTCGACTACCATGCGCCTTACAACCCTAGGGGCGACGGTTATCAGGACGGCAGCTCCTCGTCTACTGGCTCTGGCACGAGTATTGCTGCGTATTCGTGGCTGGACTATGCTGTGGGGAGCGATACTGGCGGGTCGATGCGTGGTCCCGCGGGTGTCAACGGTGTCTTCGGAAATCGGCCCTCCCACGGAGCTGTCCCTCTGACCGATGTCATGCCACTGGCGCCGGAATTGGACTCTGGAGGAATATTTGCTAGAGATGCCAAGTCCTGGCAGGTCGCCGGCAACTGGTGGTACCAGAACTTTACACAGGTACGGTCTCACCCGTGTGTATCCCGGACCACGCTGACTATGAGGATCAGTTCAACAAGTACCCGTCAACCATTCTATTCCCAGTCGATGCCTGGGGCAGCAGCTTCCTGACGGACCCGCCCAAGGCCGGCACTGCTGACGCAATGTTCAACACCTTCATCCAGAAGCTCGAAGGCTTCTTGAATACGTCGCGGACGGAGTTCAACCTGACGACGATGTGGAACGCGACGAGCCCGCTGATAGCGAATGTATCGAACCCCCCACCGCCGCTGCGCACGGTGCTGAACACGACGTACGCCGACTTGATCGCTCTCGACCAGATCTCGCTCGTCGCGGACCCGTTCATCGCGGACTACAAGGCGTCCCACGCCGGCCAGAGCCCGTTCATCGACCCCGTACCGCTCGCGCGCTGGACCTACGGACGCACGCTCAACGCCACGGAGCGCAAGGCGGAGGCAATCACGAACAAGACAGTCTTGATGAACTGGTTCCAGAACACGGTCCTGAACGGGACAAACGACGAGACGTGTTCGAACGCGATCTTCCTGTACCCGCAGAGCTCGGGAAAGACGAACTATCGCAACGCGTATCTCGAGTATGTGGCTTCGTTCTTTTGGCCTATGTCGCGCATTCTCACACGTTATGCCAGCCCGCCGACCCCACCTTTTGGCTTCAGCACTGACACGATCGCGATATACGCGGAGACTCCTGATATGGTCGTTCCAGGTACGTACGCGTGTTCGTTCGCCATCTTCTCGTTCTGCGGCATTTACGACGCACCGCAGTTGGAGAGCTTCCGTACAACTCCACCATCAGTCTCACGATCGAGACTTTACCTGTCACCATCAGCTTTGTTGCTCAGAAGAACTGCGTAAGCTGCCCCCACTTCGACCTGCTTTTGACGCATGCTCATACGCCGTGCATAGGATCTCATGCTGTTCAGCCTCTTCGCTGCCTTGCAGGATGCCGGGATCGTCAGCCCTGTGGTCACGGGACAGAAGATGTTCGCATAATATACGCGTGCATTAGAGAGAATACATGCTACTGCGCTATGATCTCTTTGAAATACAGCTACCAATTGTTGGCAGGAGGTATGCCAGAAATTCTCCCTAACACTCCAGGCCTCTAATGAAGGTCTATGTGCATCATGGTGCTGCCGTGCCAAGTTCGCTAATTCGAGTAAGAGGAGTAGTGCTTGCACCGCGTGAACTCGAGACGACCATTGATGGCCCTGCTAGTACGAAATACTCACATTCAGGTCTCCTGATGGGCGCGTCCAGTGTAACTCTAGCGGCGAAGCTTCTCCATGAACTTCGACGGCGACTGGCTAACTTCACAAGACTAAATCAAGCGGACACAAATGTGGAACACGAGTATCGCTGTTTCTTCCTCTTGCGGTGGATTTATGCGGGGGTAGGTATCACGGCGGTTGGCAGGAAGGACGATTTGTGTTGCGCGGTGGTCGGTCAGGGCTAACGGGATGGCTAACCCTAGAAGAAACTGGATGGGTCGCTGAAAGCTGAGCACCAAAGAGGGCAGGGCTCGGCTTAGGTTGTGCGGCTGGCCGTTCAAATTGTCCTGTCTTCGAGTGCTTACAAACAACCGGAGGGCTGCGTGCGCATTGCACTGAGTACTGAGGCCTGGGGATGTATCGACGCCGCCCTGCCAATAGGCTTAACAGCGAGATCTGGAGTGGCACCACTATATTGATCTCGCGCTCACCTGGACTACGTATATTTACTTTCTACCTATCCTCATCCGCCGAGGCAATCGATGCGGGCTTGACTGGACCTCAGAATTCCAGGCCGCAGGGGTCGTCCACGAGCAATTGATAAAAAGTGCAACACGACGGAGCGAGCCTTGGACGGGTCGGCCCATCATGACGTCATATGCCTTTAGTTACTTCATCGGTTCTTCACGGGCGCCCTGATTAGGATTATAAATGTTTATATGCAATTGTGCCATGTACAAGGAGGGCAAGTTTGCCCCGGGTTCATAACAACAAAAGAATAATGAGCACACAAATATATGTTAATGAAATTGTGATGCAGCAGAACATTCTCATACAATGTACGTATACGTATACACATTATGGATGCTACAATATAGAGGCTCATGTGCCTTGCTACAGCTATGTCAGATCGCACTCCAATCCTAGACAGGCGGAAAAATCAGTAGCTGCAAATGCAGCATATACAAAGGCACAATTAGATGCAATCAGCAGACCTGGTGAGCAAATTAGCAATAAAGTATGCACTCGACACTGAATTTTTGTTTCGATTTTTGAGCTCGTGTTTACCGGCGCCTTGTACGCACGTTATTTACCCCAACTTGGCGCTACGAGATGCTCGGTCTTGAACCACCTGCCTTCGTGCTCTTCATCCGTGGACGTGTGCTGAATGCAGCCATGTTCCATCTCTCTGGCCCTCCTTCGTGGACATGTGCTGAATGCAGCCTTTTCCAAGCTCTCTGGCCCTTCTTCATGGACATGTGCTGAATGCAGCCTCGCTCCATCTCTCTGGCCCTCCTCTGTAGATGTGTGCTAAATACAGCCTCGTCCAATATGCCCACACTTGCCCAATGTCTATTCTACCACACCTCACTGCCTCCTGGCACTCCATGTATCACACCAGCTGGACAACAGGTTCTTGCCCGAGAGAGGACAGGTCTTTCCATTGGGGTATGTTGTTATTCAGGTGTGTAGTGCTCCATACTTTTGTTATTTTTATGATTATCTTTTATCTCTTTCTTTAGTCCACCACCTCGCTTGTCGCACCATCATATGCCCCATCACACCTACCAGTGGCTGCAGCAGCAGCAGCAGCCAGCAGCTCATCCCAGCTGTTTAGGCCTGCATAACTGCCCAAGCTTGTCTGCCCCTGCTGTTTGTCTTTGCAAGTCCCACTACCACCATCTAAATCAACCTTCCTGCCCATGACCGAGCTGCCGCACTGGCAGAGCATGCACTCGCCCATGCTGTGCTTCTCGTACGACATCGCCACTGCCACCTTGGAGGCAGACCTGTCCTCGCACTTGCTCTCGCTGCACATCCATACACCCTGCGATTCCAGATCTGGTGCCCGATTCCACTCCACTGGACGATAGTAATGCACTACACCTGAGGAATATCTTCAACTTCACATCACCATACCTTGCTTGGACATAGCCAATAGGGAGTGCAATGTTAGATGCTGAGAAGGAGCTTGCTGAGAACCTTACTGACCAGCTCATTAATTTGTAGACCTTATTCTGCAACAGTTTTGAGTTTAAATTAGATGTCTAGAATTATATTAATAGTCTACCCATACATGCCTGGTCAATATACCCTCACCTGCTTACTGTGGCCTCGCACGGCTGCCTGATTATGTAAGCAATCTGTTGAGCTGAACTGACCCGAATTGACCCAGGTCATTAGCCATGTCAAAAGGTCATCACCCGTCAGTTGAACACTGAAATGGCAGGCCCGCCAAACTCCAAATTATCTTGCTGATGGACTATGTCCCAAATTACAAATCGAGCTTTCAAAGTCAGCGTCTTGAAGTGATCTTGACGCTGTCTGAAAGTGGCTTGAGATTAGATTGTAAGATCGGGCGGGTTCTTCGTATGGCTCTCAAGATGCCATCATATCTATAAATTACTTATTCTGCAATCATCGCCTGCAAACCACTTGGAAGTGCACGCTCCAACCTCAAGGACGTCCAATGCTTTCTCCTACACCCACCTGTGTGTCCCCCTTCCTGATTTTTAGTTCTGCGCTGAGTATTTGACCCATAGAATGTAAGTACAATATTAATTTTCTCTCAATGTGTGCTAGAATGCGTTATTTGTTGAGCTCACTGCCGATAGACCACTGATTGCGCGTGACTGTACCATCTAGATTGTCCAGCCCCTCGATCAACATCTCCGTATCCAAATATCAACAATGCCGGCCATTCGTGCTCAGAAGAGCAACTGCAAGGTCTCTTCCAAGCGCAAGACTTGCCCATTCTGCCATGGTGAATTCAAAGTGAACGGATTTGTGAAGCACCGTGCAGCTTGTGAGCGCCAGGCCAAGAACAGAGCCACAGATGAAGCTCTCGAAGAGGAATTGGGGCGCTTGCGCCTTGCTAATCGCAGTTGTAGTGAGTTCAACTCTACGGCTCATCTAATTGCAAAGACTGACAGCTCCGCCTTCAGACATGGCCTGTACGAGTACTGTTGAGGAGATCAATCTCTCTGCTTCGGAGAATATGGATAATCTCTGTAAGTATCTTCTTTAAGTCTCATATGCAAAGATGCAGTGGTCTCATTGTGAACTCAATCTCTATCTTACAGCCTCACCAATACCTCAAGGTATGTATATACATGTCACTATCTCCCCTGGACTGTTTGTAATATGACAATACTGTGCACAGCACTGGCCAGTCTCCTTTCTTTCTTTCCCAGACTCGAATTCAATGAAGCCGTTCCTTTTGCTGATGCCGGCAATGAGGCTTTTGTCCAAGATCCCATGTCAATGCCACTTCAGTCTGATTCCCAGGAACAATTAGCCACTATGGGTACCTCAGAGGACAGAGAGCTGGTGCGCCAGCAATTGCCATCCTCCGGCTCAGAGGACCAGGCCGATGAAGTTCCGCAACTTGATGACTTTAAAGTTGAATACCACCCAAGCTGTGGGATTTCGGCATGCACCTATCAGTTTGACGAGTACCAGAGAGAATGACCAACAATTCCACCTCCGGCAAAGCTTCTTGAGTTTGTGAGCATGCCGTGGCATTTGTTTCGTTGTTATGATGACTTCGAGTTTGCTGAGGTCGTTCTTGAGGCTGGGATGAGTCAGCAGCAGATCAGTCGTTTGCTTGCGGTGGTGAAGCACATACAATCTGGCGGCTCAGACTTCTCTTTTGCTACACACAAAGACATTACTGCTGCTTGGCAAAGAGCCTCACAGCATCATGCTCAGGTATGCAGGGCTGCAGCCAGCTTTGTTGGTGCTCGCTGCTGATCTTTTATGTATTTAGTTCAGCAAGTATACTGTATCTGCCATGTACAATCAGCAGGAGCATTTGTTTGATGTTCATGCACAGCCTTTGTGGGAATGGGTTCTTAATCAGGTGAAAAGTCCCCTCCTCGCTTCCAACTTTCAGTGGGATGCACAGCGTCTCTACAAGCATAATGGAGAGTCCTGAGTGTGGTTTGTTGATGATCCATATACTGCAAGCCGAATGTGGGATGTACAGGTGCGTGAAGTTTTTATCATAGACATATATTTGTAATCTGGCATTGATATGGCATTCAGTTGGAGCTGCCACATGGCAGAAAACCTCTTGGTATAATTCTCTCAGCCGATAAGGCCAAGCTTTCAAGCTTTGGTACACAGAATGGATACCCAGTAATTGCACGAATTGCAAATCTGGATGTGGAGACACAAAATGGCAGAGGACCTGGTGGAGGGTGCATTGTGGGATTCCTTCCTATAGTACATACCATGTTCTTCTCACTTACGCAGCTTTATAAGCATTTAACAGGTGCATGAGAAAGCATTTGGCCACGGCAAGCCAGGATATGTGAATTTCAAGAATGTCATTTGGCATAAAGCATTCTACAAGGTCATCAAGACAGTCAAGAAGCTCTCACGTGTAGGCTTCTGGGCATAATGCAGCGATGAATTGACACGGTGGTTATTTCCATTTATTATTATTCTCTCCGCAGACTATGAAGAACAGTGGGTAATATTTTGCCTAACTCATACTATGATTACTAAACAAAATAGCAGATGCGTCATGGCACTCATTCGTAGCACCAATGGCAACTGCCCATGCCCTGTGTGTCTTGTACCAAAGGCCCAGCAAGCACAAGGTCACAATGTGCATCCAGTCCGAAAAGCAGCTGATGTACAGGTAATTTTTACTACGAAGCTAAAGCGTGGCCAGAAGAAGAAATTTCTCAAACAGCTGTCGCTCCGAAATGTTGAGGTACGCAAGCAATCCTTATTGGTGTTTTGCACCAGCTTATATCTGACCAATCACCTGTATATTGTGCAGAATGTCTTTTGGAAGCTTGCTCACTCGGATCTGCACAAGGCACTCTCTTTTGACCGACTTCATGCTTATCACTTAGGACTCTTTGGCAAACACCTCTGGCCAGAGTTAAAATTAGTGGTTGAAGGCTTGGATAGGAGTATCCGGGTGGCTATCAACAATCAGTAAGTGCGTGTATTTTAAATAATTGCTGATAGCTTAATTCCCTGAGCCAGATCAATGGTGTTCCCAATATGGCAGGGCCTATACCACTTTGCAAAAGGTGTCCTCTATATTGAGTTCTCTGATGGTTCAAAGTACGAAGACCTATCAAAGGTACGTGTTCATTCAGATTACCCTGCAACACATTCTCAAAACTTTCTTGTAGATTATTGTCTTTATTTCATTCTGGGCATTGACCGCAGAGACCAGTAGGCGCGGCTATGCGCTGTTGAAGCTCATTTGTCGGTATATTGAGTGTGATATGTATGCAAGCTTTGAGGTCCATACAACTGAAACTGTCGATGCCTATTGGCAGTGTATTCACCAGGTTTACAAGGCTCTTGAGGTACGTCACACTTGCCTTGCAATAAAGCAGGCCACTACTCACTGTTCTCCTATGTAGAAATATATTCCCCTTTGTGTTGGCGATAAAAAGCATAAAGACTGGAACTTTGCAAAGAACCATTCGCATATACACGCTCCCGAGGACATTCTTGCCAAAGGTGTCATGCGAAATTTCAGCACACAGGTCAGTGAGTCAATGCAAGGCGGCATACAAGATATATACCATGACCACTCAAATCAGAGAGACATGGAAGGACAGGTGTGTTATACCTCAGCTCTTTGCTTACTGTTCTCATTGTGGTTCCTCCTGTTACAGCTTGCAAAGGTTGACCACTGGTTTTTCTGTGCTTGCTCAATCTGAGATCGAATTAACGCGTATGATGATCTTACGGAAAGCATCTCAAGCATGAATGAAGACTCCCTTGACCCCAATACAGGAAAGCCATGAGTAGAGCGTTTCCAATTCAACCAGGTTTACGCTGGTGGTCGAGAGCGTCCAGCAACCCTCGAAGCAATAGAGCAGAGCCATAGAAGCAATCCAGCTTTCTGTGATTTTACCTCTCGTCTTAACACCTTCTTAACTGGCTGGTTTGCAGAACTGCCAGTAGAGGAGCCCCTGAGCATTTCCAGAGCTACTTCCAGATGCATCCAAGTGAAGCTAAAACCATCTGACAAGGTCAGATCATAGTACTTTTATTATTGTGCCAGTTGACCGACTGTCTGGCAGGTGATTGAGTGTTCTTATCTCAGGGTGGACTATGAGTCCAAAGTTACCTGGAAGACAGTCACCGACTATTTGCGATGCTCTCCGGACTTTTATAAGAAGCCACAGTACGATGGAGCCATTGTCGATGCCGGCGGCGGCAAATGCGTTATTGTCAAGCTGCATTTCACCTTTGTCATCGATTGTGGCAGCAAGCTATACCCTCTCGCGCTGGTGCAGGCTATGCAGATCCCTGGGTCCCCTCAAGCTCAGTGTAATGTTGACTATAACCTTGCCCTCTACCGTGTGAAGGCAAAGAGAGCTCCTGTCTTCATACCTCTGCAATCGATCATACACGGCGCACTTCTGTATTCTGATCCGCTGCGCACTGATGAGTACTTAGTTGTAGATACAATCGAGACTGGAGATATATTTTTGCGGCTGAAGGAGATGTTTTCTGACCAAGGATTAGCTTAGCTGATTGCTCTCGTGACTGATGTATGTGGTTTATGTTTATAGCCAGAAATTACATTTGTTTTGTATAGAATACGGCTGCTCAACAAGCTAATCAAGAGATAGAGGAGAGAAGCATTCACTGGTCACATCTTTTCTGAAAGCTTTGTGGTGTTGCCTCATTTTGGCAATAATGTGAGCGCTGGGCTCTTGACACAACCGTCGCATTCCGTGACCCGGCAACGCCAAAACAGCCATTCACGTCCTCGCGCTCCGACTCACCGCTCTCAATCGAGCCCACACGCGAGTCCTCCTTGTCGCTGCTCACTCTCAGACGCTTGCACGACAGTATATTTGTCACGCCGAACATACCCGCCGTGGGAGTCGCATCCGAGAACAGCCCCTCGTACTCGACGGACGACGGCAACGCCGGCTGGCTGACGACATACGAGCCCGTGAGGACGGATGTGTTGAGCGTCAGCAAGTGCGTTGGAAGGCTTGAGTACACCTGGTCGGGCGAGACGTACTGGAGGCTGATGTACTGGGGTGCCTCATCCAACGTCGAGGGGTACTGCAAGAGCAGGGAGCCATTAGTATAGACGGACTCGGGCGAGCCCAGCTGCTCGATCTGCGGACTGTGCGAAAAGCTGTGGACAACGGACGGGAGCTGGTTGTCTGCGTCTATGTCAGCAGGGCGGCACACGTAACAGACGCACAGGCGACTCACCATGGAGGGTGTACGCTGTCAGAGCCAGCTCTTGGCTGAGGCCACCGGCGCTGCCATCGTAGTAAGATGACATCTCCGGTGGCGAGAACTGCATCTCGGCTGCACGGTCGAAGGAGTTCTGGGTGTAGGCCGGTGCTGGGGCTCAAACTTTGCCGATGGTAGCTGCGAATAGCCCATCTGCCCTTCCTGAACATAGTGCATACCACGAGGGACAGAATTCTCCAGCGGATATGTCACGGCCACCGTAGCCGTGAAGGTGTAGTTGGGCTCAGAGAAATCTTGAGGGTGCTCCTGAACGTTCATGGGAGCAGTCAGGCTGCCTGAGCTTGAGGGCGAAGCCAACAAAGAGATGGACTCACCCTGAAAAACCCCGGCTGGCAAACAGCTGTAGTTGCAGTAGAACTGGCGGAGTGACAACGGATGCTGCGCAGACGAGCGTACAAAGGACAACGGCTGATTAATCGACGAGTTGGCAGGTACACCTGGTTGTACATCCCAGGGTAACTGGCTGTGCCACAAGATAATCGAGCCGGGGATGATGCGTTAATGTTCGAAGCGGCATCGAGCTCACACGTGCCTCGGCAGCTTAGTCAACTGCGCACGCACGGCTGCATTCATCCCTCCTCCATACTCTCGTTGGGCCCATCTCACTTGTTGCTTGCGACCGTGCCTGATTCTCCAACGACATGGCTTGCAGTCCCCTCTAGAAAGCAGACTGGGCATCTGGCCCAACTTGGCTCATTGCAGCATCTGTGCAGCTACCACCTCCCTCGAATCCCCCTGCGGTCCTCACCCAGACATTTCTCCCCCCAGCTCTCACTGTTGTCGGCACCTTTCCCCTCTCCGCCCTCAGCCATACCCAACTTTTTCACACCAGACCTCCCAGTCCTCTCTAGGAAAGGCAAGGAGCGTCAGGCTTCGCAGCCAACGGATATTGCTGAGAAACTCGTCGCTCTGCGCAGGAGGCAGGCCGGGTGTGTGTTTTCTCCTCTATTTCTTCCTGTACTCTCCTCACACTTGTTCTCTTTTTGCCCCCGCACCTCCCAGCCTGATCAAACCAAAGGAACGGACTGACCATTCCCCTGCACTCTCAACCTTGACAGCGAGGTCTCCAGGAAGCCCATTCTCGCTGTGGCGCATGCACGCGTCATCCACCATAAGCTCCAGCATTGTCGTCTCTCAGCCCTCTCTCCCGCACAGCGGCGCGCCCGACGAACAGGAATTTCCAGGAAGCTCAAGATCGTGCCTACTTCTCCACGGCACGGTCATGCCAGATGTCGTAAAGAAAAGGTTAGGATAAGAAAAGTAAGTAAAAAATAAAAATGAGGTTTGATATAAAGAAGATTCTAGGAGAAATCCTAGAAGGCTACTTTTTAATAAAAGAGAATGGAGTTTGGTCTGTTTTAAACTAAAAGCAAAAAGGGTATAGTATGGAATACTTAGATTTGGTTTTCCCAATCTTTTCTTTCCAGGGTTCACTGGGTTAGCCTTTCAACCAAGCTATCCTGGTGTTCGTGGGGGACTAATTCAAAGACCACCTACTAATCTGCTTAAGTACTCTAAAGCCTCGCTTGCCTGTTTACAAGGAACTTTTTAAGGAATCTTAGAAGATGGGCTGTAAGGAGGTTTGGTTAGTAGCTTAAAGACTAGCTACTTGGGTTAGTAGAATAGAGTTTTTAGATAAGTAAGATAAGAGGGTAACAAAGACAACTTAATGTCTTGGTTAACTTAGTAAGCTTTGGCTAGTAAGGACAATTTAATGTCCTTAGAGGATTTGTATAACTTGAAGCAGTCTGAAGCTTCCAATTTAGAGTTGAAGATCAAGAATAGATTTAATCTCTTTACTGCTAGTCTAATTACTGTAAGCTCTACAGGAGACGTACCACAGTCTCAAATAATGACGCCACTAGCTCTCGCAGTCTAGGGTTAGTCAAATAGTGAACTCGTGCACTATACCAAGGGCGTTTCCCTTCAGGTTATTTGAAAGTCAGAGGCTCTACTGTGCTTAAGGAATTTCCTAGGCTTTAAAGAAAGGAGTCTATTCTCTGAGAGCTAAAGAGCTTAGGGGATTAACTGCAGGTTTGCTGCTAGCTAAATCCTTGAGAGTGTGTGTGGTGCTTGGTGGGTTGGTGTGTTCATTTCTCTCAGAGAACCTCTCCTATTTATACCTTTCAGCCTGTTGTTCCTTAGCCAATAGCAAAACTGGCTCTTCTATTCTACTGTAATTACTAAGCTACTTCTACTTTTATTAATAAGCATTTTGTCTGTATTAGTCAGCCTTCTGTCTGTTTTACTAATGTATTGGTAAGCTATTACTAATGTTTGTTAGAGTATTACTATATTTTGGTAATTCATAGCTGTTGAGCATAGACCTTTACTAAGCATAGTTTCTAGATTACTAAGAAGCTGAGTCATATTATTAGTCATTGATTCACTTTTAGTAAGCTTAAGTGTCTATGCTTACTTTGCAGCTCTGAGTAAGCAGTTTCTTTTTGATTTGAATACCTATTATTCCTTTAGTTTTCCTATACTTATAATTATGGTGCATGACAACGTGGCGAACACAGCAGCCTGCGTGGTAGCGGCAAACTGTACAACCCTCATGCCAATCTGCCACGATGGCAAATTGTGACAGCCGAGCCAGATGCAATGTCAGAAGCAGCATCCAGCTTGTATGCACCTCGGCAGCCCCCTCAGCCGTCGCGATCCCATCATCACGCGCAACCCAGCCGAGCCGGCAGCAAGCCTCCGCGGCTTTTCGACCCAAGAAAAGACAACCAGCATCACTTTGGCGTCATGGCCCGCCCACAACCCAATGGCGGCACTGCTCCGACACCCAACGGTTGTCCTGCACCCACACCAAAGTCCTCCGGAGACTGGATGTCTGCCTCTTCTACTTCTTCATATGCTCATTCAACAATTTCCTCCAATTTCACACTCAACACCACAACAACAGAGTCCTCGGTGAGCTTGGCACTGTTCAATAACAGGCAACGCTCAGAAGACAGCGCAGCATTGTCCAACGTGCTCTTGTCCCAACTAAAATTGTACCAGAAAATTGTGACGCTCGAAGCAAAGCTCCAGTTGGATCATGATGTGGACATGCTGGATGACACTTACAAAGATTCACACCAGATAGGCCTGCTGCAGAAGGGCCAACCTGCAAACACCAGGACGAAGCAGGAAGAGAAGGCGGAACAGGAGCGCTACCACAGGACTGTCCAAGACCACAAGGAGTACACTTGTTTTTATTGTGCTCTCACCTCAATCACTGACCATTATCGCAATGCTAGGCTTGCCAACGTCATCCACCAGCTCCTTTGTGTAACACTCTCGCCCAATGTCCCAGTCTTGCTCCGCAATATTCCTATCAAATACAACCTGGTCACGCGCCTCTGGTTGCATGCGTTCTATCGCCTGCTCGAGTCGCTTCGGCGAGCGGCGATTTTGTCTGCCCATCTGGACATTGCACTTGAAAACCTGGTGGTGAGTCTGATCACTAGACTTGTCATATGCAGAAACTAAACTGGTGCTTAGGAATTCATTTACTACACCTACTCATTCTACACAGGCCTCATGGACAAGCAGCACCTGGTCCATCTCCGCAGCAACTGGACTGAACACCTGAGAGACATCACTGGCTATCGCATCACCGCCACCGCTTTGCTTGACAACCAGGCTGTGCCCAAGATCCTGCTGGCGAAAGCCATAATTCAAGCTGCACTTTCAGGCAATCATCTTTCCACTAGCCTGAACACACCGGAAGCATCAGAGCTCTCAAACAAAAACTTTGCATCTGCCCACGGTTCTCCTGCTTCTGTGGTGTGCATCGACGACTCGCCCCCACCATCTGTTGGCAAATTTGCACAAGCGCCGAGCATTGCATGCATGATGGAGCTCAAACCTGAGGAGTGCTGGCAGCAGATATCAAGAGAGCGGCATGCCAAGGGTCCGGCAGGGTGCACCACCACCTCGGTGCCCTCAGTCGGGACCATGAGGCGGGTGAGAAGGAAGAGCTGCGTGCGGTCTACCATTTTGTAAAGAGATCAGTCTGCTTCTGCAAACCTGTGTCATCCTATTGGCTGACACACACGTAGCATGATTGCGCTCCATCCGTTCTCGACCTCGCGGGAAGCAGTGCTTCTCCTGTGGTCGCAAGTTGCTCAATCGCGCCGCCAAGCATCTGACGCGAGTCTCACTGACCTCTTCGTGCTCCTTCCCGGCATGATCCCCACCGATATCCAGCTCAACAACTTCAAGGGTGTTCTGGTGCAGTTTGAGGAAGAGTTCCAGATCGAAGGTGAGTCTTCAGTCCCAAGCTCTCACGCACCCAATTCACACGTAGCGCATGCCACCATGTTGTATCGCATCTATTTCTGGCCAGGGCTTGGGATCACCATACTCACTTAGGGTTCGCAGGTGACGAGGTCGAGGAGCGCGAATGAATCATGATGGCCATAGTCAACATCAGCGAGATGCTCGAGTACGGTCGCTCGACCGCGTTCTTGCGTCGCGTGTCTGGCATCATGGGCCGCGACACAATCTCAGGTCTGAGCGCAAGCCCCATCCTGAATGGCAGAGTCAAGGTCACCAAGAGGCCGGAGAACGAGGAGAGGTAGGTAGAAGCTGACGACGAGGACGACGAGGATGACTCAACTGGAATCAATGGCCTGTATGCCATGGTGATTAGCCAAGATTCACTCACCTTGTCTGAGGCAGACGCCGCGCCCCCCAAGCCCGAGCTGCCAACGGGCCTGTAAATTGCCCTGCAGCTGACCCTCACCATGCTCATCTACATTTTTTGGAGGCCTAACTTCCCTCGCACCTCCGCAGTCATACGCCCGATCCCCAACCCGTACATCACGATTACCTTCACCTTCTTGGCTATGACCCTCGAGAATAAGAGCACCAAGTGAGCATCAATGCGCGTCATCCCCTGGACGCTGCTCGCCGTCTTCCTCTCCTCAGAGATACCCCACAAGGTGATGCACAAAAATTAGCCAAAAGACACCGTCCTGCTCCTGAGCGACACATACCTGCTTCCAGAGGACTGGTGCATGTGCAGCTTCTGGGACAAGGCAACATGCAGCGAGAAGTCACTCGAGAGCGAGGCCCTTGATAATATCACGCAGGCCGCAGACGCACAAGACGGTGTCATCGAGGATGATGCTGAGAACGACGAGCAAGCAAAGCTCTGCAAAGCCCCAGTGCACAGAGGTCTTAGCCCGCTGGATTTGTGTCGCGTGCGCGGCGGTCAAGATGTCAAAAGTTGTCCCCGGCTTCACCTACCGCCCACCGGTCACACAGAGCAGGCATGGTGAGTGGAGCATTGAGAGCTGGCTCACTGATCGCATCACCTGTTGGCAAGAGGACGCACGGTTCGAGAAGCCTGAGGAGGCATGGCTCGAAAAGCTTGAGAAGCCGTGCCAGCTGATGGGCACGCGCTGGGACAATGACAGACGAGATGGAGGTCGATGAAGACGACTGCATGAACAGCATTGAGTTCAAGAGCAGCAGAGAGGAGGTCTCTGATCCATTTTTTTAATTTTGCTGACAGTGCTCAACCAGGAGTGCCTCCAATACCTGACTTTGCTCATACAGAAGGAGCACTCGGAAGCCAAGTTCCAACATCATGAATGTGGTCGCAAGGCAGCGCGCATCCAAATGGTTCCTAGGTACGCCACACTCGCTCTCAACTTGAATGTCCTGCCTTCATCTCAATCTGCGGCGCACGCATAGCGGCGTGGATGTTAAAACCCTGTTTTGCAATGCAGTGGATACCTCAATTATGCGGTGTGAGTGCTTGATTAGAGTCTTAATATTCTGAGCAAGCAAGGTCACAATGCTGACCTCAAGGATAATATGTACATACAACATGTATCCTTATGAATGATGATATCAAATAATTGCAGCTTGGCAAGTGCATCACAGGCTCAGTGTACAGGAGATGCACACATGACTTATCAGCAAGGTGGCTCTGAGTGGCACTCAGCTCTTCTTATTGAGTCATTGTGCACATGCGTAGCATCAAAGTTCATATAACTACAGCCCTTGTATGCATAAAGCACAGAGAAAATCAATTCAGACAGGGGTGCGAAGGTTGACAGCAGCATTCTCAGTTCAGCCACTGTCTCTCTTTCATACATTTTAATATAAATTAGATACATGCGGCTGAATCATGGTATGAACTTGAAAGTGGAGACTAGGCTGATGACAACAAAAGCGGGCAAGGCATAATTTAAGCATTCAGGGACTGCTATATTATCCTGTCATTTTGTTCATTGTTACCTCACCGCCTCCAATTTCCTCTGCTGAGACAAAGCTGCGCTCTCACCTAGCTCACAGTACCACATTTTCCAACAGCCTAAGTATGGTTTATCATTTGTAGTGCTTTTATCTGTTATTGACTTACTTCGAGCATCTAGTACCTAACGTGGCGTGGATACACTATGTCTGACCTGACGGATGGTCTCCAGGAGCTTTTGGAGAGACACAGAAATACCTGCATTTCAGAGAATGCGATGGTGCAAGAGTATAGAGATGTTATTTTATTTTATTTTGCCTTACTTTGTAAACTTGCTGACATGATGTCGTTGCTTTTAGGCACTCTGTTCGCGCGATGAAGACGCCGAGCTTATGCGAGTGAAACTTGGGGAGCTGCTCAATTACATTGAAGATCTCAAGGACGAGATTCTGCAGCTGAAAAGCAAAAAGAAAAGCTCGAAAGCTGCAAGGTCAGACGCATCCGCCCCTGTTGTCATGCTAAATCAGAGAATTATAGAAGTGCACGCGAGAATGTACACTGAGATGTACAGTCTATGGATCATGACCACCGCACTCAGCACTCCTATCCAGAACTTCGACCCCAGCTGCAATTTGTTCAGACCCAGTCGCTTTGCCGAGGAAGCTCTGCAAGCCGAGACAGAACAAATTCATCTGTTATTTCACCGTATGCCTGCTGATGCCAACGGCAGCAATGAGAAGCGAAATTCGATTATGGCCCTCATTGGTCAATCACCTGCCTTCGAGGAACTGGTATGTCAATCTCAGTCTTCTCTCTCTGCCGCATGTTGTTATACCAGATACTGACAATCATGCTACGCCATAGTTCACGACCACGGCTAACAGTCATTGCTATAGCTGGAACAACAAGATAGGAAAGGCAATGCTTTCGATGCCGATTGAAGGTATCTGCAAAGAGGCTTGGACGGATCAGAATAAGATGGCCAATGATCCCATTGCACAATGGCTGCGTGGAGACATAAACAACGATTTCTCCCCAGTCTTATTCCATTCTGATCGTATTAGTGAGGTAGATGGATTATTCAATAGCGATGCACTGGCTAAGGTGAGCTCAGGACCTATATACTTCAACACAATTTTAATCACACTTCAGTGGGCAAGGTTCTCCACTTTTGGACAGACCTCAATTTCTCGTAGTTCTGCCGGTAATGCTGGGGCTTTAAAATGGGGCTGGAACTGGATTACGCCACAATATATAGCATCCATTGCCGTACTAGTATGTTATTCAATGCTTAATGGGACGTGACTCTAATAAGCTTAATTCAGGCTGTCTTCCGACTAACCGGAGATGCCACGCTCAGCATCACGGGTGAACTGTCGAAGCGCAAGTACTAGGAGATGTGAAGTACAATCTTCGAGTACCTCGTCACTGAGTGGGATAATATGCTACCGGCACGGTGCCTTTGGCAGACAACTGTCTTCCAGGGCGTGCCTGGTGCAGATGCGCATCTACCACCACAATCAGATGGGCGCAGTTCTCCTGACCTCGAGGAGAATTCCAGATTTGGCGGAAACTCTGAATTTTGTCGCAACTACAATCGGTACTTATCACAGGGCAGGAGCAGCATACAGGATGCCGAAATGTTTTCAAGTAACCCTCCGCTGTGTACGCCTGCATTAATATCACCTATTATTTATACTGATAATTCTCTTATTCAGAAGGTCCGAGCCCAGCTCTAGCCCCATCTTCCCATGTGACTGCGACCCCAGCTTTTCATATGTCTCCGAGTCCGGCTTCCTATCCACGCTCACTTACACCCTTATCAGCCATGTCGACGATCAGCCAGAATGTGCCTCAAGGTGCGGCCACCTCTTAGCTCAGAAGTGCACCAGCATCTGCCGCCGCAGGTGCTGCATCTGGATGACGTGCACTCTCAACTGTTGCAGCTTCTCATCTATTGGCGGCACTTAGTCTGGATGGAGACGAGGATGGAGATGACCCCAGCATGGCTGGCCATGTCGAGCCTGGTGCACCATTACCCGAGCATGCCACTCTGGCCGAGGAACGTGCAGCTGTGCAGATCAGGCCTCAAGTACCCACCGCTCTACATGCCAGTCCCGCAGCATCACAGAGGCCCAGGCGGTCACTGATGCAAATGATGGTGGGGTAGCTCTGGAACTGCACGTGGGAAGGGAACTAAAGGTCGCGGCCATGGCAGCCCAGGCCGCAGTAGCCGTGGTGTTCGTGGTAATCGCGGAGCGTAGTTGCATCTGGCGACATGGCGCACTATGTACATACTGGGTCTAGTCATTCATTGCTCTTTTAAGGCTGCTCAGCACTCATTAGTGAACGAAGGCTGCTTCTATGGCATCTGAGCGGTGAGCAGTGAGATCACAAAACAGCTGCTGATGCAAGGCAATGGACAGCCCTTCGTTTAGCCACATATATCCAATGATAAGGATGGCCTCACATGGCGCAGCGCAGTCAAGGGCTTACAAGGGGCTGCAAGGCACTAGAATGGCACTCATATAGATTTGAGGATAAATCCATATGCAGGGTCATATAGTGTAGTCGTTTTAACGTCCAGCAATTTCATTAGCGCTTATGAAAGGTACTGAGTTTGAACCCCTTGTGTAGCAGCAGTATATATAGTAAACTAAGTGTAGAGCCTTGCAAACAAATAACAAATAAGAGTGATACAATAAGTAAGTAGAAATGAGATAAGAGCCCCAGCCAAAGTGACTAAGGAAGTAATAACTTAAGAGAAGTGAATCACAAGTAAGTAGAGTAAGTAGAGTAAGTAGAGAGATAGGGAGAATAAGTAGAGTGAGTAAATAGAGAGATAATTAAGTACAGACACGGTGAACATGTTGTTTGAAGGTTTGCAGGGTGCTTGAAAGCGCTTAGGTGACTTGGCAGCGGTGTCAAGCACTATCAAGGATCATCCTAACTAGGTAGATAGTCACTATCTTCAAAGCCATATCGGGATCTTCTCTGATCTGTGAACGGCTTGTGATAATTTCCTTCCCCTTGAGACTGGCACCCTCCTTGGCGCCTTGAAAGCGCCTCAAGGCCCTATTAACGCTCAAACCGTTTTTGGGACATACTGTGGATTAGGCGCTGGATTAGGCGCGAATCCACGGTCTCTGCTATCGGCCACGTGCTATTAATCAGGGTCTTGAGTTCTCTACTATGGTATTCGCAGAGTGAACTCACCATGAACAACGAGTCGCTTGCACAGGTGAGTGCACCACCTTGAGTCGGATATAATGATGTCGACGCTCGGGCTGAGTCTATGTCTTATAGGTTCTTGCCCGGGGAGAAGAATCTCAGGAAACTCGCCTATCTTGGCAGTGCACCAAGTGTAACCGTATCTTTCTTCAGAAGAATATTGCGCGGTTGCATCTTCGCGTCAGACACAATCTCAAGCCATCTGCAAGTTCTCGTGCTGAGGTGTATCTTGACATCCATTAGACGTGATTGCGCTGTTGAATCATGTGCCATCCAGGCAGTTGAACGCTCCATCGTACCTTTGCCTCGCACTACAGTGTACGGTGTGTATGAGGTATGTTTTGTGTTTGTTGTATGCCGTCCAGAGCATTAAAAAGCATATCAAAGCGTACCACTGGCATTCTAGCAGGAAGAGCGTATGCCCTAGGCAGTTTGCAGGAGGACGCCGCTGGCAGAAGGTATGTCGCATGATTTTGATGTCTACCTGTATTCCTATCGTCCACAGCTACCAGGTTCTAGAAGGCCTTATCGATGATCGCGATGATCCATCTCTGTCTCCTCTTATCAACTACCTCATCCATGCTGCACGGCATCGCCATCCAATATTGAATGTAGGCCACCTCGTCTACCATTTACTGGCACGCTAACTTGACTTTCTTAGTCCGCGTCTACACTGGGCGGCGCTGATCCAGAACTCATGTCTGCGCTGACCAGTGACGAGGAGCACATCGTTGGGCTCCTTAGGACCATGCCGGATACAGACAAGAGCAGCATTGTGGGCCTCCGCGGCCTCCCTGCAGCCGACCTATTGAACCTTCTCGATCTGGTATGTTTCTCTCGAGATGCTGTGCGGAGCCACCTGAAGAGCAAGGCAACCCAGATCCTGCATCCTAAATCGCCAGCTGCTTCCGATATTTTTCCATCCAAGGGGAGCCTGTCCGGACATGGCCCAAGATTAGAACGCTCGTTGCGGCGTGCATTCGTGCGGCTGTGCGAATCATCTCTCCAGCTTCCACACAGGTTGTGGCTATCAGGGGTATACTTGAGAGATCGCCAACCCATAGCTGGGGGGTCGTACGGAGAAATCTATCAGGGCAAGTATGGTGGAAAGGCCGTAGCTCTGAAATCACTCCGCGTCTTTCGAAGCCGCGAAGATGACGCAAAGAGCCGAAAGGTGTTTGGATTTTCAGGCAATCAATACGGTATGTCACTGACAGCTTGGATGTTCCTTACAGGCATTTTACAGAGAGGTCGCACTCGCTCGCGGCACAGATCACAGACATGTCTGTCAGATCATAGGCGTTGATCGAGAGTCTTTCACGAGCCTGAGCGTGGTGCTACCGTGGATGAGTTATGGAAATATCCTGCAATATATGGCAAAAGTCGGGTGGTTCGCTCAGGACGCTATTCGCTTGGTTAGTCTATCTCTGGCATTTGTGGTAGCCTGAGAGCGCCACTCACTGTCTCATCAGATTTATCAGGTGGTTTCGGGATTGGCATATCTACATGGGAAGGGTATCGTCCATGGAGACCTCCATGTCGTACGTTGGTTCGATGACTATGTCAGCTGAGTCTGGCTGAGAAATATATTACTTAGAGGAATATTCTCGTAGATGTGGCCAGAGACGTTCGTCTGGCTGACTTTGGGCTCTCCAACTTCTCAGATGCCGCATTAAGTTGTAGCTCAGCGCAGCCAGGTGCAACACGCTGCATGGCACCCGAGATCTTTGACCCGGATCGCTTTCGGCTTCCACGCGCACAGCACACACCTGCAAGCGACATGTATTCGTTTGGTCAGACAACATGGCAGGTAGGTATATAGATCAGCTTAGTCGTGATCTGCTCTGATATTCTTTCGCCAGATATTTACCGGAAAATTACCCTTCCCTGACATGAACAATTATCAAGCAATGCTGTCCATCCTCGACGGCAAGTGCCAGGAACGCTCGCTATCTGGTAGAGATGTTCCTAACACTTTGTGGGACGTTATGCTGGCGTGCTGGCGCTTTGAGCCGTCTCGGCGTGCTGATGCTCTTACGGTGCAACGCCAGCTCGAGGGTGTCGATCTTTCTGGCTATGTCGAGCCACTCCCACCTTCAAATCCCGGCGTCAGCACATCTACAGACTCACTACCATCTTCTGAATCAGCTCCTACTCCCCTCGATGCAGCAGTGTTCAATAAGTCATTGCCACCTCCACCCACCGAGGATTCTGCCGCATCGACTGCCGGCGAGCCTCCGCTATCGCCTTTGCTAGTACTAACAGTTTCAAACCTCCCTATGCCAGGCCGTAGCTCAACATGGCGTCATCCAAGCGGCGATGGCGTCATCCAAGTAAACAGTAAGGATGCCGATTATACGCCCCCCAGTACACCGGAGGAAATAGATGTCGCCGCCAATGGATCATGTAACAAGGAATTGTCGCAGGAGTATTGGCGTCTCGAACCATCTAAGAGTGCCGATGCTCTCACAACGCAATCCCAGCTTGAGGCTGGCGACCCATCTTCACCTCCTGCTCCCGACACCGACATATCTGCTGACTCCTCGCCGTCATCTGAGTTGACACCTACTCCACCCGGTACCAAAGGGTTTAGCAAGGAATTGCCGCCTCTGCCCGCCGCGAATTCTGCTACATCTACTGCTGACAGACTTCAAGTTTCGTCGACTCCATCGACCTCGCGAAGGATATCCATTTCCCATATGCCTGATCACAGTTTGACATGGCCTCCTTTGACACCCAATGATTCAACCGTAGGCCTTTCTACTCCGCCGATGACATACATTTTCCATGTGCCAGACTACATTCCCGCGCGACCTTCGAGTTCCGTACCCCAGGGTCACTCGCCCTTACTAGTCGATGCTGCAGTAGCTCGCTCGACCGAGACTTGGTCGCAGGACCTTCGTGGCTTATTTGAGCACGCTAAAGACTACTACCCTAACGTTGTATGGAGGATCGCTGACGGCTCCATAGCGAAGGTATGGGGTCATTCTGGTAAGCTATTACTCATCCATTTCCGCCGTATGCGTGCTGACTAGTCTCGTCTTGTAGCTATTGTCTGGGCTCGGGTACCGTTGGCTCTACAGGAGAGATATTTTCCGTGGATATTACCTTCAACACCGACTGCCTCCCCTGTGCGGATCAATATAACTGGAAATAAGGTATCCTTGGGCGAGTTCAACTTTCTTTACACCGGGCGCTGCTAGGGGGACGCATTCGAACGCCTGTTTCACAACAAGTATCGCGGCATCACGCATATAGAAGGGGATCTGAGAGACATGCTGCGACAAGATCTCCTCTCCATGTGGCGTTGCCATCTCCACTCGGATATTCGTATCGCTATCGTTGCAACAGGTTTCCCTGACAGCTCAGAGAAACAAACTGACACTGTTATGCTTCCTGCGCACCGATTCATGCTTGCGTCTCGATCGTCCTACTTCCACGAGCAGCTTCGGAAGATTGAACGGGTATCCGGCGAATTTACACTCAACCTGCCATCGCCGCCATTCACGTCGCTCTCCATTTATTTTATTCTCGGATGGATCTACACCGGCACACTAGCCTTTTCGGATCAGCAATGGGATCTCGCCATTGCATTCGATATTATGCGATGTGCGATGTATCTACATATCGATGCTCTGTATGACGAAATCCAAGCGCGCGTCGTGATGGATATGATGCACGGGTTCTTCTATCCCTTCCTCCTCTTCAGCGAATACGACAGTATCACCGGCAATGCATGGGGGGCGGTCGGATGCAAGTGTATCCCGTGTATGCAACGCGCACCCCGCATCCTCGATTTCTCCCTGGAGGACGATGTGAAGAATTCATATCTCGAACGCGGTGCGCGCCGTGCCCTCACTGCATATTTCGGCGAGGGATGGTGTACCACGGAGTTTGTACACTTGTCGCCGGAAACTCGTCTGTCTATCCTTGAAGAGCTCACGAAGCATATGACACCGCTTAACGTGTTTCCGCTCCTGTACTCCTTCCACGCCGGCATCAAGAAAATCGAGGGGGTCGAGGAACCTTGGGCAGATGTTTCGCGGGAATTGCTGCTTACTGCCGCTAGTAAAATCAGTCAAGTCCTTTGTGACCAGTCGGCAGAGTGCTTCCAGCAGGAGAAGTGGCTTGACCTCATGGATGCATACGGTGAAGATGTGGAACGCGACAAGAAGCTGGGACAGATCACAAGTGCCATCCGACGCGGGCTGAATGACTCAAATGCTTCAAAGCTCTACCAAGTAAGTAATAAACGGCCTCAAGCTTCAAAGCCCAAGGAGCCATATGGCTCAACGTCTGTTAGACTCTAACACAGTCGATGCTGTCACACCCTGGTGCGACCCCGTACGTCCGGACGCAAGTCGAGCAAACCGCTGAGGGTATACTAGGCTGGTTAGAAAATCGGGAACTTGAAGGCTGCTCCGACATCTTGCAGGGTTTGCTCTCTCCTCAAGTCATCTGGCAAGCGACTGAATGCATTGCGTGCAGGAGTCGATACAAGTGACGAAGAACTATTCCACCTTCTGAACCAATCTTTTGCGGTAAAAAACAATAAGGCGCGTCGGCGCTTCGGGCGTAGTAAAGTCTCTCGTGAAGACGCTAAGATCCCATGAAGCAAACCCATGTTGCGGACAGTGATCTTGAGATATGATATATATATATATGAACTGAGGGATATAATTTAACCGGAGGCAGTATTAGCACTGATGCTTTCTAGACAGAAAGCTCTCCGTACCGACGTGACTGTCTAAGGATCGAGATACCACACAGATGGAGTATTTCGGCCAAATGCAACGTCAGCGTGCATGAAGAGCACGATATTTCGAGCGAACAAAGATACCAACGACTTTCAACTGGGCCTATATACCCTTCGAGTGTCTTCTTATCTTCATTGTCTTCGTTACTACTCCGGCAGACCGCAATTGTCAACAACACTCCGGGCTCACTACGACAGCACCCGTCGCAGCCCAACAAAGCTTTCTAACAGACGTGAGGGCACCAAGATATAGAATGTCTTCATGCCGGGAGTGTGCACCATGAATCCTGCCGAAGCGCAAATGACGAAATGCACGCCCGGCTTAGGCTCCATACCAGCCACCCCTGACCAGGACGGCTGGAAGTAGGGTCGACCGGGCCGCGCTGTTGATTTGCAACATGCGACACTGATACGGGAGGCCTTGTAGACAATACGTGCGCCGAGTGAGCCCACCGCTTCGACTGGTACTCCCAGCGACAGCCGAAAAAGGCGGCGACCGCAGAAGAGAAACGTTGAAAGAACATATGCGAATTGACACCGTGCCGAGCGCCTGCGTGCAGGACGCTCACTGGGCGATAGTACTCACAACTCATATGCTAGCGGAAAGTAGCAAAGGAAACGTGCCGAGCGAGCCGTTCCCATTGACGCGCATTCTCAGGGAAATCCAGTAGAGAGAGAGAGATGCAGTTCTCGATGTGACTGCGGACCTATCGAAGCATATGAGACAGACAGATAGACGACACAAAACGATGGAACCAAAGAGCAAGAACGACGACCAAGCGAGAGAATTCGTCGTCGATGGCACGAATTGGACGCTCGAGCGGGATCTTGACAGCTGAACGGTACACATGCATCATAGGCGTCGCTCGTGGTCATCGTGGTGTGCGAGCGGCCACCGAGCTGCGGCTTATAGTAAGTAGGCTTGGAATACGCCTGGCAAGCGCAGAAATGTCAGGCAACAGTACATTAGAGCTATTGCAGGCTGTTGCGCAGATGGTGCCTTCCCCTTCTCGCCCTGTTCCTCGAATCGTGGCTCGAAATCAAACAGCAGGATAGCGGGCGGTAGAGATGGGTTCGAAGGGATGGGCGAAGACGGCCGTCGCTGACCCGCAGCACCGGATAAAGTCCAAGGTTTATTTCGGATTGTGGAGGATGGTTGCGAAAGGAAGCAGCGCATTGACGTCCCGGAGAGTCATTGCTTCGTGAACGGCTCCGAGAGACGGAGCTCGTCGAACCGGTTAGGCAGACAGTCATCAAGGAGGCCGTGGGAACGAGTCGTATAATTGCGCGTGTTTCTACCCAATATGTCATTCACGATCAGCAAGTGTGCACGGACAGCACTAGCCTGTCAGTCTTAAGTTAGCCCAACAACTCGAGATGCGTGTATCCATCATGCCGAAGCTCGACTCGGACGACGACCCGACTGCCGCGGCTCAGCCAGGACAGCGCGACCTGGTGCACGCATAAAGTCATTCAGCCCATCGTTGTCGACGACTTGCACGTCATGCCACTAGACACAAGCTCCGGGTCTAGATACAGGCGTTCGATATTCGGCGAAACTGAGACAACGCGCAAGAGTTTCCGGCCGCACCTGCTCTCGAGCCCCAAGGTGAAAATCTCTTCCTCGTTGAAGGTCCAACGCGTTGGTCACCGTGTGTGCCTTCTTTTGAAGCGTGACAAAGGTGGAGAACAGCAGTTGTGCGACCTTGAGCAGGCGCTTGAGACGAGCAGGCAGCCGAGACGTATTCGTGACTGACAGAGATGTGCACTGCTGCGTCGTTCTTGGGAAATGCAGGAAAATCCATGAGAGATGACGAAACAATAGGTCAGGATCCTACTTAAGATTACGTCGGAGAACAGGGCCTCGTGTATATCCGCGCTGATTGGACGCTGGCAGGTATACGGTATCTGCAGCGAAACAACCGTGGAGCTGTGCCTATACCCAAGATGCGACCGGCCGGTGTCTAAACAGAGCTTACCCCGAAGGTGAAACCGCTGAAGAATACGTTGATAAACTTCAGCCGGAGATAATGGGGGTTATTCACGACTCTCCTGTGATGCCCAGCTGTGGCAACTCCGGCCCATATACCACGCATCTACTAAGACAAGAATGCAAAGCGAAGCGCGAGTCCCATACACAGGCCGAGTATGCTGGGTAGACGCAGCTGTCCGAGGTCGGGGTGCAGGGAAGGACACGTCTTGGCGTCTACTTATTAGAACAACCTTAGTCGCTTACGTCAGCCTACGTCAGCTCACGCGTGTGAGATTTCGTCTTGTTTCCGAATTCCAACCACCGTGTCGGTGGAGTCGAACTATCGCGCGTAGTAAGCAATCGTACTTATGCAATATGCAGTATAGATAAAATCCAATAGCGTCTTGGGCGGATACGCTGCCATGTCCGCCTGTGGACCATGTATGCACCGTTATGACTAGGTGAGACGAGTTGTGCTCCTGCTTCGACTCCAGGGCGACGCCGAATAGTTCATATAAAATTGACTATTCAGGCCATAAGCTTTTAATATTCTCGTCCGAGCAGACTCAGCAGAGCAACGAGAAGTGCTGCGCGCGCTGCGCTCCTGCGATAAGGGGGCAAATGAGGCGTTTGTGCTGCCTTATCCACTAATATTTTCGCATGCAAAGCAGCGGTACTTCACCCACTAGAGGCATATTTCTTGGCCGTAACCATCATCTCCAGCTCGCAGCCCATGCCGTAGCCTCCGCGTCTATGCGCATGTGTCATAACATAGAACCACCCGTTCGACGTCTGCAGATCCAGCTCAAGTTGTGGCAGGGCACGGCATCATCTGTGGGACTTTCAAGGTCTGTACGACCTCCTGTGTTTTCATACTTGACATACAAATGAAGAGACTCTCCCAGAGTTAGAGTGGGAACCCGGCGAGTTTATCATTGCACCACATCAAGTGCATGTCCAATTGTCCACTAAAGTCGGCAGATGACCCCTTAATCAATGGAAACCGTGATGCCCATCTTTCTGACCTCGTGAGACACTGATACCTATTCGTAAGGTTATGATTGCTATCTGTTTTTATATTGACAACTCCGGTGTTCGCAACAGTATAATCCTAACAAGCTCCGACCCCCAGCAGCCAAGAATTCAGCTTGCAGTCGAAGATAGAGCTTTCCGACTCCCGGAAGTCATGTCTTCCGGTGGCAGCGGCTCCCTGTCCACTTTGCGTGCAATGTATGGCGCGACACTAGTAGGGACTTTTGTAGGTGTCTTGTACGTAGTCTTCTTTGTTCTCAGGTAGTCCACAGCTGACATTGCCACAGTCTGTCGGGAATCGTCTCTATGCAGGTGTACATGTACAGTCGCGTGTACTCGAAGGACCACATCGGGATAAAATGCATGGTAAGTCCTTACTCATGCTCTTGTGCGTATCTCACCCGCTCCACGCTTAGGTTGCTCTGGTCTGGTGCGTTCAAGTCTTCCGAGGCTTAATAATGTATATAACGGTTCCTATAGGGCTATGGACTTGCTACACACCTGCTTGATCTGCGTGGCAAGCTGGATGGACCTGGTCGAATACTTTGGGGAATGGGACCATCTGGATTGGATTACTTGGTGCGTTTGGCTTGCAGATTTGTTTATTGATTGTGCTCATTCCTCCGGACTGCTCATAGGAGTGTTGGAGCTTCAGTTGCGCTGACCGTGCGTTCCTCTCAGCGTCTTACTTCTCCGCGCCTCACGGACTGCATTAGGCCCTCGTTACCTTTCTTGTGCACTGGTAAGTTTCGTTTTTGCGCAACGGATGTGCGATGAAGGCTAACGTCACTACGCTAGTTTTTTTATTCATCGAATATATATAAGTGAGCGCCTTTCCGTGACCTTGATTTCTCGCCGCCTGACTCCACTTGCTCGCAGTAAGCAACAGGAACTTGTACTTGACTGTCCCACTCGTGCGTTTCTCGTCCTACTTCAACATCCCGACTGATTGTGTGTGACAGGCCGTATTAGCTCTATTCCGTTTGGGTCAGTTGTCATCCGTCTCTGGTGCTATCAATTCCCTGACTTTCTGTTTTCCCAGCGGCAGCCACAGGTGAGAGACTACAGACATCGCCAAGTGATTACCACTCATCTACGGCCCTCAGCGTCGACGTCAGAGATGTAAGCGCGAAAGCGCAGCAAAGACGCTCTACTGACAGTTACGGTTGCTAAGGATAAGGCTGTCGAGCTATTCAGGATTTGTGAAGAGATACGGCGTAAGTGAGAGACTCCAAGTTGGTCCAGACTTCTGATAGGGCCTTAGTATATCTTTACCATGGGTCTTAGCTCTGCGGTTGCCCTGGATATCGCAATCACTGGGGCAATGTGCTTCTTCCTCCGGCGGGGCAAGTCTCAACTTTCAACGTACGTGATTTCTTCTGCGCCGTTGTCTCACGTTCATATGTCTATCAGGATGAACGACATCATCGATACACTGGTACTATATACAGTGGAAACAGGGATGATCACCTGGTAGGATTTAGATGACGTGCCGAAGTATTTCGACTGATGTATGCGTCTATCAGCCTCACCACAATCGCTTCCTTGGCGTGTGTGAGTTGCCTTGCAGAGGTTACAAATACACTGAGGCTGATATGACGCTTGAAGTGGGTCTCTATGCACAATAATAACCTGATATTTCTCGGTCTGCACTTCACTATCAGCAAGTGTACGTACCTGATGCGCTCCATGGGTCCCTGTGATACTGATTCTGGCATTTCCCTTCCAGTATATGCTAATTCGCTCCTTGCTATGTAAGCGCTATTTTCAATCACCACATAAACCATCGCTAAAATTTTTGTATAGCCTAAATTCCCGTGCCACACTCGGAGCTGCACATAACAACTCGTCGC